AAGTAGATGCATCAGAAAACGCGGTTGGCTCCATCCTTTCCCAGCGGAAGGGCGCCAAGGAATTACTTCACCCAGTAGCATTCTTCTCACGGAAACTTACCCCTGCGGAGAGGAACTATGACATTGGGGATCGCGAGCTACTGGCTATCAAAACCGCTTTAGAAGAATGGAGGTACCTGCTGGAAGGTGCCTCCCATCCCATCCTGATATTCACGGACCACAAGAACCTGGAATATCTGAGGACGGCCAAACGTCTACGCCCACGACAAGCAAGATGGGCATTGTTTTTCTCGAGGTTCCAGTTCCACATCACATACAGGCCCGGCTCGAAAAACACGAAGCCTGACGCGTTGTCGCGCATGTACGAGGACACCAAGGAGATCCCAGTACCCGACACTATTCTTCCTGCAGGAAATTCCTTGGCCCTTCAGACGAACCTTCGCTCCGAGATCCTGGAGAGCGTCCACAGCGATGTCTACCTCCGATGGGGCCCCCCTCCAGAACAAGGAGGGACTCCTATGGAGGGAGGACCGGATTGTGGTGCCGGAGGATGCCCAAACCTTAGTCTTGGGACATTGCCATGACCATCCACTGGCAGGACATTTTGGGCCGGTCAAGACCCTGGAACTTCTCCGACGTTCCTTCTTTGTAAGAACTACGTGGGCTCCTGTGCCATCTGCCAGCGGAACAAGCCTTCAAGAAATAAGGTGTGGGGCCTGCTGCTACGTCCATTGCCCATCCCTGAACGGCCCTGGCAGAAAATCTCTATGGACTTCATAGTCGAGCTTCCACCTTCACTGGACCACACAGCAATTCTCGTGGTCGTGGACCGCTTATCCAAGATGGCCCATTTCATCCCTTTACGGAAGACTCCATCAGCAGCCGAGACGGCGCAAGTCTTTATTCGAGAGATCGTTAGACTGCATGGGGTTCCCGAAGACATCGTCTCGGACCGAGGGGTGCAGTTTACCTTGCGGTTTTGGAGGGCGTTGTGCAAAGCCCTGGATATCAAGCTGTCCCTTTCCTCGGCATTTCACCCTCAGACCAATGGCCAGACCGAAAGGACCAATCAGACCCTGGAGCAATACCTGCGATGCTACACATCATTCTCTCAGGACGACTGGGTGCCACTCCTCCCTTTGGCAGAATTTGCGTACAACAACGCTTGCCATTCAGCAACTGGGCAGTCCCCGTTCTTCGCCAACTATGGGTTTCATCCTGTCTTCCTCCCGGACTTAGTCCCGGAATGCCCGATTCCAGCGACACAGGATGCACTGACCTTCTTCACCTCCAACAATAAGAAACTACAGGAAGCCATCCGTCAAGCCCAAGAAGACTACAAGAGGGCTTTTAATAGGAAGCGAAGAGAGGGGATCTGGTGTTGCAGCCCGGAGAGAAGGTTTGGCTGGCTACGTCAAACCTGAAGATGCTCTGCCCGTCAAAAAAGTTGGGACCTAAATTTATAGGCCCTTTTTGCATCAAACGGATGGTCAATGAGGTGGCCTATGAACTTGTTCTCCCTGAGACACTCAAGATCCACCCTGTCTTCCACGTGTCCCTGTTGAAACCAGTAGTCCCTGATGCCTTCCCGGAACGGGAATCCAGGCCCCCGGAGGCCGTAACGGTTGAAGAGGAAGAAGAATTCGAGGTGGAGGCAATCTTGAAGTGCCAACGAAGGGGGGGCCAGACCCAATTTCTCATCAAGTGGAAGGGCTACGGCCCTGAGGACAATTCGTGGGAACCAGCCCATAATGTCCATGCACCTAGGCTTGTCCGGAGGTTTCTTTGTGATCACCCGTGGTGGAGAGATCGGGTGGGCATCCGGAGGTTGCCCGTAGGGGGGGGGCAATGTCAGGGATCTCCTCGATCCCTGCCGCGATGGTCCCGGCGCAGGCGCACTGCTCCACCCAGTACACGGGCACTAGGTCCGGGCCGGCCGCGGCGTTCGAGTTCGCGCATGCGCAGTAGAAGCCGCGGCCACCCGCTGGGCACCAATGGCAGCGCAGGGCGGGATATTTAAAGGTCCCTGAGCTGTCATTTCGTTGCCTTCTGGTCTTACCTGCTTCCTGTGATCCTGTACCTGTGCCTAGTAAGTTATTGACCCGGATTGCTCTTGACCTTGCTGATTTCTCCTGCCCAGACCCTTGCTTGCCTGACCTCTCTCCCTGGATGCCCCTCATTAGATCTGACCTCCTGTTGCTGACCTGGCGTGTGACCCGACGATTCTCTGCCTGCTCCCTTGTACCTTACCGTCCTCTACATTACCGACTCGGCCTGTCTGACTACGCACTTGCTCAGCCATCCATCCATCCATCCCACCGGGGTCACCCGACCTCCTCACATCTGGCTCTCCCTGGTTGGAGCCCCTGGCGAACACCCCTACCACTGACAGGTGTGCTCAGTAGAGGCGACCTGGTCTCGGGGTACTACAAGTCCATCCCCACCATCAGGGGCCCTGGTGAACAAGTACCCTGGGGCTTAGACTCCGCGCTCTGGGCACGCCTGACCAGTGGAGTGCTAGTGGTGCCGCTCGGCGGTCCCTCACACCTCCTTACAGTGACCACAAGGGTCAGCTCGCTTTTAGGATCACACCACGATCCTTACAGGTAATGATTCGTCTGAGGACAATATCCGCACTAGATCCCATCAATGGTGGCACTTACTCCTCTCCTCTCAGATCTCCTCCAGACACAGGTAAGAGCAATACCGCTCACTTTCTGCCACACTGGGTTGGCGTTCAAAGAAAGAAACTCTTCAAAAAAGAGTTGTCACTGTATAATATTTCACCATCAGATCCTGGAAGGATCATACCACTAGTGTTTTTGTATTATTTTTACACTTTTATGTTGGATTATTTTAATATGTATTAGCGCCACACTATATATAATTAAAGATATGTGTATGCTCTGAGAGGTGCAGACATGCGTAAATGAATGCATGCCAGACTTGTTATGCATTAGAATAGGGTTGATTTAGTAAAACTAGAGAGTGCAAAATCTGGTGCAGCTCTGCATAGAAACCAATCAGCTTCCATGTTTTTTGACAAAGTTTGATTGAGCAAGCTGAAGTTAGAAGCTGATTGGCTAACATGCACAGCTGCACCAGATTTTACACTTTCCAATTTTAGTAAATCAACCCCAATGTGTAATTAGCTCTGGGTACAGAGTATAGTAACCAGTAGATATAAAGAAAAATGTTCACAATTGAACCTGTAGTAAAAGAAATATAGAGGCTGTCCCAATCTACATTTCTATTCCATAGCACTGACACAAGGTGTTCAGAGGATAATTAAAGGTAAAAGCTGTTTTTATACTTTCTATCCTTTTGTCTATTGTGACGAAACGCATCGGGCAGGGTCTTGGCAGTGACATCGCCATGCACCAGCACATGATCAGGCAGCATGTTTTTATTTATATGTTGTCTTATCCAAGTCACTTGTGAGTACATTTTAGCCTAATAAAGAGGTGTTTTAAAGATAATTCACTATAGTTTTTTTTTTTTCCTTCGTACTATTTGGGAACCCAATGGTGCTACTATTTGTGTGAGTTGGTGACATTACCCAAGAGTATCAAACATCCATGGGCATTGTGGCTATGACTGAGGCTGGAGTCTCATGAAGCTGACGATATTCATCTTAAAGGCTAACTGGTGATCCTAAAGCATTCATGCACACACGTGTTACTGACCTCTCTACTTTAGGGGTCAGACTATTTGGTAAGCAGGTGATGGGTTTATGTGGTATTGGAGTACTGAAGTTTTAAAGTCTGCACTGTGGATTGCTGTTACTTGAAAAACCAAATTAGCTGACTTACATGCTGACTCCTGACTTTACTTGGTGCATGCTTTTTTTTCTGGGGAAGCAACTCCAGAGACAGTCAGGAAAATAGCCATCCTTTATATTCCCCACAATACACTTTTAACTGAGAATTTACAGAATTATTTTTTTCTCTTCACATAATGCAAAGTATGAGGTATATAGTATCACATATATACACTATATATATATATTACTATATGTAGCAACACACCAGTAGCCCACACGTTGACTTTGCAAAGCAGCTAAAGACGTGTGTGTCTGCACCAATTCCAAAAAAAAACAATGACAGCAACTCAAATTAGTTGGAAACTAGCAAAAAAAGAGAAAGGTGCACATGTGCAGGCTTTCAATCTGGCCATCACAAAGCAAAAAATTGGATATTTTTAATGTGTATGTATGCTAAATAATCTGAAGGTATAAAACATACAGGTATTTATAACTGCAGAAAGAGATCACCTTATCCTGTCTAATTCATTTATCTTCCTTTCTTCCCAGTTGAGTGGTACCATGTTTATTCAGGTATCATCAAGGATCCGTTTGTACTTCTTGGTCTGAGACACTGGTTCAGACTTGTGTAAACCAGGGTACCTGCACAATAGTCTATGTTTTTGTTTATGAGTGTTGTCTCTCGCAGCATCCTGCTGAGCGGTGTCAATTACAGCATACTAAAAATTTGATAAATAAAAATTTTATCTGCACACTGACAGAAACAATTGAGTACTGTCCGTGATACTTTTTTTTATTTGCACTAACATACAATTTTGAGGACAAGCTTTCGGGGAGTGTCCCCTTCTTCAAGGTCCAAGCAGTACTGTACCAATCACAAAGTTTTAGCAGAATGTTAGAAGACATGAAAAAAACAACAGGTTAGAGATAAGACACAGCAAAAGCAAAAAGGGGTGTGGGGGGGGGGGGGGAGACAACACTCACATCACAGAGGCAGTCAAGCTTGAGCTGATAGTCATAAAACTGTTGGATGATGATTGAGGAATCCCATGTCCAAATTCAGGCCATTATCTCTTGTGTCAAATAGAATTATCATTCTTAGTTCAAAAGTTTTTCTCTCCTGAATGGATTTGAAATTTCCTTTAAGAACTAAAATATTGAGGTCTCCCATTGTGTGGTCTGGTTGTGCAAAATGGTGTCCCACAGGTGTGCAGAGGTCATCTTCTTTATGTTCCTTGATGGTATGTCTGTGCAAATTCATCCTTGTTTGCAACGTCTGTCCTGTTTCGCCAACATAAGATCCTTTGCTGCATTTTCTGCACTGGATAAGGTATACAACATTACTAGACGTGCCGCTGTATGATCCGGAAATATTGAAGATCCCTTTTGAATGTCTGACACATTTTGATGGATTGTTTTTGATGCACAGTTTGCAGCGTTTTTTTATTGCAGGGTGTGCTTCCATTATTTGTGACCTCATAATCAGAAGGAAGTTTCCTACTGATTAGTTTATTTCTGAGGTTGGGGGGTTGTCTGAAGGCCAGTATTGGGGGTTGCTGGAATATTTCTTTCAGAGTTCCATCCTCTGTTATGATGGGTAACTAATCAGTAGGAAACTTCCTTCTGATCAAGATGTCACAAATAATGGAAGCAAACCCTGCAATAAAAAACGCTGCAAACTGTGCAACCAAATCAATCCATCAAAAAGTGTCAGACACTCAAAAGGGATCTTCAATATTTCCGGATCATACAGCTGCACCTCCAGTAATGTTGTAAATCCCCCAACCTCAGAAATAAACTAATCAGTAGGAAACAGAATATGGTACAGATGTGCATGGTAACCAATTAGCTTCTACCTTCAGCTTGTTTAATTAAGTTTTGACAAAAACAAAAACCTGGAAGCTGATTAGTTTCTATGCAGAGCCGCACCAGATTTTGCACTCTCCAGTTTTAGTAAATAACCCCCACTGAACTGCTTATCTGCATTAATAATATTTGTATGTCCATAGACAATCATCTGTTGGCTTCATAGTGATTTTGAATTTCTGAATCTAATATTGAGTTTACCATCAAAATTTGATTTTGTCATACAACAATGTTGCAATGCAGTCAAATTAAAATATTGTGTATTTTCCCACTTCCCATCAGAGCATCTTATTCCTAGAGGCTTCAGATGAATGCCAGGCATTCAGCATTCAAGTGCAGGCAGTTAGAGCTGGTGGAGAGATATGCTGCATGTTTGTTTTCCGATTGTTCTCCTCACAGGTTCTCCTCTTCAGCTTAAAGGTAACTAAAAATAAAAAGAACAGTCCAAAGGAGGAATACAGGAAAAATGCATGCAGAAATACCTGATGTACAGCTATAATGCATATTATGAATAGGTATGAATATATTGCTATATTCATAGTCCAGCATAGCTTCCTGAAGTTTTTTTTTTTCTAGTTTCAAAATTTCTAGTGAATATTAAGAAACAGCAATTGGAAAACACAAAATAAAAGTGGTCTTGAGGCTAACATGGAGGTAATTTAAACTGGTGTTTCAGTGCAAAAGTCTGTGTACAACAAACTGAAGTATGTTCCATGAAAACAATTTGGGTTCTGTTAAAGTTGATTTACAGCCAAAATATAGCATATACCTCATAGTACCATAAGGTGACATAGCAAGGTCCAGCACTGCACAAAAGATACTAACTAAAAGATTTAGATATTCTGTTTTACCTCACTCGAACTTCCTTTAAGATACAACATATTACTTTAATCAAGAATATCCACAACAGTCAGAAGAGGCTCTTCAGGCAGTTCCACAATATTTCTTAATGTGACACAAAAGCTTATGCGCTCATACATAATCTTGAGAGCACACTTCACCCTGGCCATGTTATATAGAATGTGTATCTACCCCCACCTGTAGTAGGTGTTCCAGAGATCCTGGGGATTTAATGCATTTACTTTGGTGATGCTTCAAATTACATATCTGCTTCAAACCTCCATCCCACTTGACCCTAAACACACTACATTGGGTATATTAGATGATTTTCAACTACAACCTCTCATTAGGGAGGCTGTTGCTAGAGCCCTTTTCCAGGCTTGGAGGGCTATACTGTGACATTGGAAGCCACCTGACCCCTCCTCTTATGTGAAGTGGGTACAATGCATGGCTGAAACCCTACAGCTGGAGAAGTACATTTACCAACACAAAGGCTATTTCCATAACTTTAAAAATTTGGGGGCCCGTGGTTGGGAACTCCAGGTTTGAGCCCACTGGAATTAGTTATAGATAGACTTCTCATTGTATCTCTATAAGGTACCTATGGGTGGTATTCCTGCCTATCGGAGGCAACAGGTATAGCAGCAGCTGCACTGTAATTATCTACCTCTGACCTGTAAGAATTTGTTTAATTGGAGTTGTATTCCTGATATCTTCTGTTCTGCCCCAAGTTTCTGATGATGTTTATTCCATGTTTGAGAGGAAGTTCTGGAAACACTGTACAATTATCTTGTCTTTCTTTAAATAAAATTATATTTGAAAAAAAAAAAAAAAAAAGAATATCCACAACATTGTAATATACAGTGCTAGACGAAACCCTTGTACACACAATGAGAATATCAGATGAATGAGTGTCCATTTTCTCTTTTTTTTTTGCATGCTAGTGTCATATCATAAGACAGAATACAACTTCCTGCAATGATGTAATGCTTTGCATTGTAATGTATTCTGTAATTTCTGAGCATGCGTGGTCTTGGATTTTTTTACGGACAACTACTGTACTGATTAAACGAAAATCGTTCGTTCTCTTATCTTACTAAAAACTTTTTCCTGCTTGTACCTTTGGATAATTTTGTATGAACTGTTGTAATCAGCTCTCAAAAGCTGTGTACTAACAATCAGATTACCGTACAAGCGATCCAAATTAGTTTTTTTCATCCGATATTCTCATTGTGTGTACATGGAATTAACCACATGCCGCCCAGCCACTGTAGAAATACGGCGGCAGGGCGGTACGGCTGGGCAAAACCACGTTTTAAAACGTGTGTTTTCATAACAGGTAGGGGGCGCGCGAGGCGCGCCGCCGCCCTACCTGTCCCGCCAATCACGGCCGCGGATGTCAGTTGCCGGGTCACAGCCGATCGTTGTGTCCCGGCGATTAGCGACAATCACTGACAGAGAGCAGGGCTGCAGTAGCTCTGCTCTGTCAGTTCCCTGACAGCTCCTGACATGCTGATCGGGACAGAAGAGTTTACCTGTCCAGATCAGTGTGTCTCCGTGCAGAACACACCCCGGTCCCCTAGTAAAACACTCCCCTCACACAGTTAACCCTTTCACTGAATAATAAAGTTAACCCCTTCCTCCCCAGTGCCATTAGTACAGAGTCAGTGTTTTTTTTTGCACTGATCACTGTAATGGTGTCACTGGGGATGTCAGTGACCCCAAGTCAATTCCTCCCCAGTGTCAGAATGTCCGCCGCAGTCCAGTCCCGCAGTCCCACCATAAGTCGCTGATCGCCGCCATAATTTACTGATCGCCGCCATAAGTCGCTGATCGCCGCCATTATTAGTATAAAAAAATTTTAAAATCCCAGTATCTTTCCCGCCATTTGTAAACGCTATAACTTTCACGTAAACCAATTAATTTACATGTATTGGGTTTTTTTTTAGCAAAGACATGTCGCAGAATGCATTTTGGCAGAAAATTATGACTAAATTTGATTTTTAAATTTTTTTTTACTGGACATGTTTTATAGCAAAAAGTCCAAAATATTGTTTTTTTTCCTCAAAATTGTTAACCTTTTTTTTTATAGAGCAAAAAATAAAAAATGCACAGGCGATTAACTACCACCAAAAAAAAGCTCAATTTGTGGGGAAAAAAAGGATGTAAATTTCATTTATGTACCATATTGCATGACCGCGCAATTGTCCGTTAAACAGTGCTGTATAGCAAAAAAATGGCGTAAATTGCAGTATCTATACCATAGTTTGTAGACGCTATAACTTTCACACAAAGCAATCAATATACACTTATTGGGATTTTTTTTACCAAAAACATGTAGCAGAATACATTTTGGCCTAAATTTATAACTAACTTTGAGTTTACTATATATTTTTTATAGCTGAAAGTAAAAAATATTGTTTTTCTTCAAAATTTTTGGTCTTTTTTTGCTTATAGCGTGAAGAATAAAAAGCACACAGGTGATCAAATACCACCAAAAAAAGCTCTATTTGTGTGAAAAAAAGGACGTAAATTTAGTTTGGATGCAGCATTGCATGACCGCGCAATAATCAGTTGAATTCGTGCAGCGCCGAGTAGCAAAAAGAGGCCTGGTCATTAAGGGGGGTAAATCCTCAGTAGGGCAAGTGGTTAAAGATTGCTGGCAATGCTTTCTCATCATCTGTTAACTCTCTCTGGCAGCAGTTAGTATCTAATGTACAGATTTGGGATCAGTGATTTTAAAGAACACAGTTCACTGTTCCACAGGAAAAAAAATAACAGGCACTAAAAAACTTAGGACCCAGCTGGTTTGCAATGGCATACAGGGCAGCAGTCTTCACCTTTTGTTATGAAAAACAATGCTTATAAGAGTCCAGAGCATGGTGTGTGGGTGGTTGTGGACCATCCTGAGGAGCATTTCCACCCTAAGCCATGGCCTATTTAGGCTATGAAAAAATCCAGCCTTGATGCATGATTAAAACTTGCTAAATGAGTATGATGAATACTCTCTGCTCTTTAAACTAGCATTGCGTATTAGGGCAGCGTGGATATTTTTTTATTCGATTACCCTGTTTATTATAACGAATGCTCTCTGCACCATTGAAAGGATCCCATTAATAACTCAATTGGTTATGGTAGAACTTTGTGGAGTTTTAAAAACTGAATATCATCTTATTGCTGCTAAATTTTCAGGAATACTTTTGTTACTGATTCCATTGGCAAACAATCTAGCTTTCACCAAGCTTCAAATGGTATAATAAGCTCATGTGAATTTTTTATTGAACAATCTGATACGTATATATGCTACAATCTATCAAGGCATGTGCAAGCATATAATATACACTAGATAATTAATAATGATAAGTTATTGTAGTTAAAAGTGTTACCTACTTTTGTAGAAGTTTAGTTGACTGTTTTATTGGATGAAATATATTTTGGACTCTTATGTTCAAGTGTGGAGTTTCAATTTCTCCTTTCAGTTTTAATCTGACGGCCTTCCAGGACTATTCCATAAAGGTAAATTGCCTGCTTAGTGCAAACACACTACAATCTATCTACTCCATATTACTCTTTGTAATTGCAACACTCAACACCACCCACCACCATGTTAATGCTAGTGACAGACTGTACCATATGTAGTATGTCCTTTTTGATTTTGCCCATAAAATTCCACTTTGAGTGTTAGGAAGTGTTTAATCATGGAAGACACTTTGCAATTTAGGAACATTTAAGGGAACTGCTGGATTTATTCTTGGAACTAAGCAACAGTGCTGACACCTATTGTTTGGATAATAAGAAGTATGCAAATTTTGTTTGTTTACCCCATTTTTTCACGTATTTATTTTATTTATGTTTAGTTATATTAGTTCTGCAATCGTTTGGTTTTCTGTTTTTTACATTGGGTATTACAATTTTGGTGCTGACAGCTTTATGAATGCTGTTAAAGAAGAACTTTTCTTAACAAAAAACATTCCACTCTGAGTGATCAATGTACATTGCAAGGATTTTAACAAACTACTACTCCAGGTAGCCATATTGCATTTCATTTTACATAAAATTACAGCGCTGCAGATTGAAAAGGAAAAGTA